TTTACTTTGAGAAGAGTCTTTTATCATGAATAAATGATGATTATTTTATGAAACATTTTTCTATATCAATTGAGTTACGATCCAGTTTCCGTAGTGTAGTGGTTATCACATTTGCCTAATTTAGATACGACTTTTCTCATTTAGTCTGTTAATGAAGTATGCCAGTCCTTGATGGATTTGCTTCAGATCTGTTCTTCACCTTTTATCTCCTCTTTACACTCCTATATAGATTCTCACTCCCAATTTCCAGGCTTAGCCAACACCTAGATGCCAGCCCATTTTAGCCAGAAGGAGATACCTGAGTGAAATTAAACCCAAGGAGGATATAAATGTTCTCTTTCCTTTCTTTGTGAGGGAGTTTCTACTTCAACTGTTACATCTTCTACTGAGTCCAATTCCCATCACATTAGTCCACCATGGTTCCAGATCTGTCAACCTCAACTTCTAAGTCCCCCCAGGTTCGATGTGGGGAAGTCCTCCACTACTTGTGAATGCTGGTCTTCCCGATTCTCTTCTGTTTGGCTTCTGTATCACTGTGCAACATATGAACTGCATTAAATGCCCTCTGATTTGTATATTTAGAATGACTGGATTATCCCTCATGTTACAGTTGGCCAATTATACTGTTTCTTATTTAAATTGTCCTCAAATTCTGAATGAAAAATCAACTCTGTAACTTATATTTCACTAGTTTTCAAGTCTTTTTTCAGTAGTAGGAATCAAAATAGAACAAAGTCAAAAAAAATCAGGCTTTCTTCTTCCCTTCAAACATTTCCAAAATAGTTTCTTACACTCAGCATTTACATATCTTATAAAATTCTGAGAATATAAGTAATATGTCCCATAAGACCAATTGTTTGGCAGTGGCATTGAGAATTTTATTATAGACTTAAATTTATTTATAGAACAATGTGTATTTTTGACAAACATTATTGAAAAGCTAGTTAAGGGGCAGAACTTAAATCTCAAATAGAAGGAAGGAAGTAATAAAGACAAATGTAAAATTGAGAAATCAGAAGAATATAGAACCAACTCACTAAAGTCAGTTCTTGGAAAAGACAGATTTTATAAGTACTATCAATTATTAAAGAAACAGTAATAAGTGATATTTATTACTCAGATCATGTATAAAATAATAGCTGCATGGAAGATTATCAAAAGAGGCTCCTTGGTAGAAAAGTATCAGCACTATCAAGCTATCGCATCAGCACTATCAAGCTATCGCCAGCTACTGCACCATGCGTTCAATCCCCAGCCAGGGAGCTAAACTACATGGCATGTAGAAATCTTCTGACACACTCGCTGCTCCCCTCAGCATATTTCAGTATTTCAGTCACTCTGCCTTTTCTACTCCCCACTCTGTTTCAGGTGAATCCTCTCATCCCCTGCACCTCTGGCCTACACCCCAGTTCTTATATGCATAAATAAATAAAATAAATCCTGAAAAAATATTATCAAGAATAGTAGAAATAAATATTATCAAGAGTAGTAGAAATATCAGACAAAATTTCTACACACAGGAGAGTTTCAGGTAATAAATCAAGAACTGATAGAACAAGAGAATTACCAACCTAACTGATCATAATGGAAATTGGCTAATAGCCACAGTAAAAGTACCAAGATCACCAAAAAGGATGATGTATACATTATATATCTCCTAACAGAACTTTTTATCAAAATGTGTAGAGTATTCTTGACAAAGAACAAACACATTAACCAAAAAAGAAATAGTAATAATCATATTAGGATTCTACATAACTATGAATGATTGCTATGCCGATTGTAAGTTATGTAGGTTCCATTATACTGTTTTGTGTACACTACTATAATGTAGTCTGGTAAGGTCCCCAAAATTATTTATTTATTAAATTTTAAACTTTAAATTGGAAGACTGAAATGAAATGCTGTCTTTTAGCAAAATATAAATTGCAAAAGAGGCCCATTAAAAAAAGTAAAAATTTTGATCAACAATTATAACCTGAAATTTAAGTCAAGCCACTGAGACAAGATCAGATTTAGAGGCCAGTTGCATCATAAAACCAAGTAAAATTTAATTATCATTTTATGTAAACTTTTCCAAATGACACAAAAATCTTTGAAATTTTCCCACACATTTTACAAACGTTCCTTGATACAAAAACCCAATAGATGAGGAGACACCATGAAAAATTATTTGAATCAAGTTCACTCCACTGTTATAAAATTTATGTTATAGCCATAGCCAGAGCAATGTGATAACAAAATAAATGAGTGGTGTGAAAAAAGCAGAGTTATCTACAGATGATCTGTATAAGGTTTCTACATATGTAATTTCTGATAACCTTTAAACAATCAAGGAATTCGAAGAATTTCAAGATCTTTCCACTCAGTAGAGAGCAAGTATTTTAGAACAATTTATACAAGGGTCTAAGTATGACTAGAAAGTACAGAAAAAGATCAGCATGAGTTTTGTCTCATAATCTCTTCATAATTCTTCCATAATGCCTGTCTACTTTGTACAGTAAAACCCCCATGTCACGTGAAAGCTGGGACACACCCAGCCCCAACTCTGCAAAGTTTAAAGTAATTAAACTCATGAAGAATTAGCAGTGATGGAGATAGTCAAGAAGTCTTAATTCAGTGAGAAAGGACCCAAACAGACACCATATACAAACTGTGGAGAATAACAGCAAAGCATAAACGAGCCCTGTCCCACATCCTTTTCACCCTAAAGATTCCAGGTTGGACTTTCTGGCTGAGCCACATCCATCAGAGTGCTCAGGTCTTGACGACATCAAGTGAGGGGCACAAGTCTTGGCCAGTAGGGGGAGTGTTTCCGGGATTGAGCAGAATCACTGTGAGGCTTTGCAAGTTAGGACCATCAGCCACTTCTTCCGCAGTTGTGCGGCGTGCAGAGCTCTGCCCCCTTCTGTTGACGCTGGAAACCGGCGCTGTACGGCGTGCAGAGCTCTGCCCGCCCTGGCTCTGTTGACGCTGGAGACTACAAGCAGGGATAACCGGGTGCCGCTCCCCTTGACACCCTTTTCGCCGTTCTAAAGGCAGAGAGGACTTGCTCTGAAGTGTGTGTTCTCAAATCACCCCAGTGAGGAGTCATATTTGCTGCCAGAGCTCAGGTAGGACTCTCAGTGAGGACTGAGGAGACTTTTCACCACAGAAAACCTTAGACACGCGTCCCACCTCTGAAAGGTCCCAGGGAGAAAGCTCAGTCAGGCGTGTTGCCGATTCACCACACACTTCCTCTTTGGCAATCTGAATGTGGTGAGGGATTGGGGGTGTTTTGGGGGGGAAATGGATGTGGGGAGGGCGGGCAGGGAAATAATGAGTATTTGAGTGTGTGTGTTGGCGCGCTCGCCCGCGTGCGCCCCTCCCCCACCCACACCCAAAAGTTGAAATGGGGTGGGGCTGTTGGAGGGAGGGGGGGTAAGAGTCTGAGGAATTGCCACTAATCATGAAAAGGCCCCTCAAAGAGTACTGCGGGGACACACAAATCAAATCTGTAGCGGACTCTGAATTATCAACCCGTTTGTCAGCCCTAGGCTGTCGTAGCAGTGGCGCCAGGAAATGTCGCTTGTAGACTCAGCTACAAGAGTCTGAGGAAATGAAGCCTTAGTGTGAGGTAGCCATACTATGTCAGTAAAAGAAGACTTCTCAGGCCCTGTAGGAATCCTGGTGAGAAAGCCAAGTGAATTTTTTTTAAAGATTTATTTATTTATGCACACAGAACTGCAGTGCAGGCCAGAGGCTCAGGGGCGGTGAGAGGATTCACCAGAGACAGAGTGGGGAGCAGAACAGGCAGATCGATGAAGTACACTGCTGAGGGGAGCAGGGAGCGGGTCAGGAGAGGTCTGCCGCTCCATGTGGATCACCTGTGAGGGGGGTGGGGATCGAACTCTTGCTGAAGTGACTTTAGCTTCTTAGTGCTGTGCTTTATTTAACCCGCTATGCCACCAGGGAGGGCCATGAGTGAATTTTAAATATACCACCTCCTACCCAGACAGAAGTCGTGGCAGCACTATGTCTCGCCCTTATCCTTTCTACCTGAATTTGCGTCGTCACGTTAAATGAATACTAGGGAAGAGAGAATTGATAGCTCATCTGCTCTCTATTGGGATCTCCTAAGTTTCTTGTGATATTTGAACCCATTTTTATGATGTGAGTTTGCCCTTCACACATAATCCACAGGGCCCAGGATTCTTTCTGATGACTTAACATGTTCTATTTAGGAAAATGCCTTCATTTTCCTCAGACCCCCCCCCACCCCCACCTTTCATCCACCTCTGCCCCACCCCCAAGAGAATGAAATGTGTTCTCTGCCTGCCATCCTTTCCCTGGCCTCTCAGGTCTGACAAAACTCAGAGGACTCTATGGTACCCACTGTGTCATCATTTGGTTAATCCCAAAATCCTTTCAAGTACTAATCAAATTATATTTGCTGGTAATATATCTGCTGCCATCAATTACCTGAAGTCCCACCTTGCAAACAGAAACAGATAGTTTGCACAGGATTTAGCTCCTGTTTTCAGCCCTGGGAGAACCAGGAAGGGATAAGCTACCTCCATATTATTTTCTTGGTTGTTTTAGATTATATGACTTTAGTCTCAGGGACAGCCTCATGGTAGAATTGGGAGGGACCCAGGCCTATCGAATGTCAAAATAATGAACCCGGGTGAGGACTGATGGCAACATCCTTCTCAGAACATAAATAACTTGAAAGAGCCCAGCCACAGCCCAGGCACACCCACCTACTGTGATCCCAGACAATTCTCAGCCTGGGTTGGCTGACTGAACCCTGAGGACTATTTAGGCTTTCTTCATATTCTTGGGGAATACAATAACCAGAAGATCAGAGGACCTGTTAGGCCCTCTGATCAGGTCAGTATAGACACAGTTGACATGATAGTGGAGATCACTCAACATGTGCCTTCTTTCCCTTAGGCAGTGACTCCCCAGTGTCGACTCTTCCCAACACTCTCCTGTCTACTGCCACCACTAGAGCCATCATGCCTTGGCATCAGAAGAACCCACAGTTCTCACATGATCCACACTCTGAGGCCCAGAGCCTGGAGATTGCACAGATCACCAAGGCCCTAGCGGAGACCTCCCTCTCCTCTCATCCGCTAATGCCTGGTGATTGGAAGGCGGCTCCTGAAGCTGGTATGGCCAGTAATCCTGTGGGTCCTCAGAATGTCTGTTTCTCTGCCATTGCCTCTGAGGCCACTTCACCAACCAAGTCAGAGGAGGGCTCTGCCAGCCAGGGAAAGAAGAGTTCAAGCACTTTACTGGCTGAGGCAGATACCCAGAATATGCTCATGTACGAGGAGAAAGTGGCCATCCTGGTGAATTTCATGCTTTTCAAGTATCAAATGAAAGAGCCAATAACCAAGGCAGATATGTTGAATACAGTCATACAAGAATACGAGCACTGCTTCACTGAGCTCCTGCTGAGAGCCTGCGAGCGCATGGAGATGATCTTCGGCCTGGATGTGCAGGAAGTGGATCCCATCAACCACAGCTATGTCCTCCTTATCAAAGCGGGCCTCACCTATGATGGGATGATGAGTGGTGAAGAGGGCGTGCCCAAGACCGGCATCCTGATTCTTGTGCTGGGTGTTATTTTCATAAAGGGCAATCGGGCCACTGAAGAAGAAATCTGGGAAGTTCTCAGTTTGATGGGCATTTATCCTGGAGTGAAGCACTTCATCTTTGGGGATCCCAGGGAGATCATCAAAGATTTTGTGAAGGAAAATTATTTGGTGTACCAGCAGGCAGCCATACATTCTGCACAATTTGAATTCCTGTGGGGCCCAAGGGCCCAGGCTGAAACAACCAAGATGAAAGTCCTGCAGTTTCTGGCCAAGGTTAATAGAACTGATCCAAGTTGTTTCTCACCTCAGTATGAGGAGGCCTTGAGGGATGAAGAAGAGAGAGCCCGTGGCAATAATTCAGCCACAGCTGCGTTTACTTCTATGGCCAGTGCCAAGTTCACCAACTTCCACACCTAGGCCAGCGAGGGATAGTTTCTTTGTGCCTCTTTGAAGAAACAAGAGTTCATACAATTTATGTCTTAGATGAAGCTATTCTGCTTTATAGGTCTAACTTGAAATTTAGTTTATTGTTGTTTTTTTATGTATTATTCTAATGCATTTTTGAATATAGATTTCATTAACTTTAAAATCTCAAGGTTTTGTGGATGATATTGTTCATCCTCATTCACAATGAGGTTAAACAGTAAGAGCTTTGTAGTTTTGTAAAACAAGCTGTGAAACATTTTGTCATCTGAAATAAGATAACATGCTATTGCAGTAAGCATTTTTGGGAAATAAGTAAAAACACCCAATCTAAAGAAAACCTTCAGTTTGTTGTCCCTTTTAGTACTTATTCCATAAAATCAAATGCATAACCTGGATTGCATAGCTGTTTCAATAATATGTGAGAAATAAATCTTAATAAATTGCATCTCATGTTCACTGGGTAATTTATTCTCCAAGACTTTAATTGAACACCTCACTTTGAAAAGCACTGCACGAGGAATGGGAATGCTGGTATTAAGGACTGAAAACCTTCCCACAGCGTTTACCCTATAATACTACGGTGATTATAATATTACAAATATTGTAATAACATTACAAAGACAATGATGGAATCTTCTAATACCTTAAGAACAAGTAAAAAGATGTGAGCAGCTACAGGAGAAGAGTCTATGAGATTTAGCAAAGTGTTAATGCAATCAGGCAAGGCCGTTTTGCATTTTGAAAATCTAGTGCACCAATGTTTGTTTGATTGAATTTATTTTCTTACATGGTTAATTTTTGTGCAGTATTTGATCTCTTCTTTTAGGTGTAATCCCCATAGTTCTCCTTTTAGGTGTAAACCACCATAGTACCAGTGATCCATCACTACAATCCAATCCAGTGCTCTTCCTTCCTTTGTTTTAATCCCTCACTTTCCCCTTCCCCTCCTGGATGCTTTAGATCTATGGTCAGCTTGCAAGGTTTATCTTTTTCTACCCTTTGTTTCTCTGAATTCCATCTATAAGTGAAATCATCTAATATTTATCTTTTTCCTTCTGACTTATTTCTGAACACAATCCCTTCCAGCTCCCTGTTGCTACAGTTGGCATGAGTTTATCATTTTGGTTGCTGAGTGGTATTCAATTGTGTGTATACATACACACACACACACACACACATCACCTTCTTGATCCATTCATCTTTTGGGGGACATTTGGGTTGTTTCCAATATCTTCGCTATTGTAAATATTTCTACAATAAACACAGGCGTGCAAACTAGAAGCAATAAATATTGGCAAGGATGTGGTGAAAAAGGAGCACTCATACACTTCTGGTGGGAATGTCAACTGATCAAGTAACTATGGAAAGCTGTGTGGAGATCCCTCAGAACACTAAAAATGGGTTTACCATATGATCCAACAATTCCACTCCTGGGAATCTATCAAAAAAAAAAGAAAGAAAGAAAGAAAAGAGAAAGAAAGAAAAAGAAAAACTAATTTGAACGGAAGTTAATTTTAAACCAAACTGGCTGTGGGGTAGAAGTGACTGAGGTCATAGTGATCAGAGACCAGGTTCTCAACATGTCTCAGAAACCCAAATACCCCAGTTGAAAACTCTTAGCTGTTACTTCCATCACAAACCACTAAACCAGAGTGAAATTCTCACCTAGGATAGGAACAGAAGATGTTCTGCATTCTTGGCCCAATGTTAGCCAGTTAGCCAGAGTCAAACAAAGTTGGTGATATTTACACATCATCTGTAAGGACTTTCTAGAAATGTTAATTATACTCCTTGAGATTTGATACCACAAAACCACTGTGCTGTCGGCCTCATGGTCAAGGAAAGCTAATACCACTTTATTCTCAGGAAATTTTACCTAGGCCATCTTTAATATAATCTGGCAAACAAATTGTGAGATCCTTAGATGGAAGGTGTTGGGAAGGAAAAAATAATTTTCCTTCTACCTGTTTGTATTCTGGGATGAGGAATCTTTTCCCTGTAACAACAACAACAACAACAAAAAAAAAAAAAAAAAGGAAAATACTGATCTGAAACACACGAAGTAACCAAAGCAAGAGTCAGACAAGCAACAAATTTGTGGGAAATGGATATGGTAGAGTGGGTGTGGAGTAAAAATGGAGAAGAATTACCTAAATTCCCTGTTTTAGGTGATAAGGATGCTTTCTTCCCTGCTGGTACCAGGAAGATGATGTGACTTTCACATGGGAAATTTACTTTCTGCTTTCTGAGGGAAAATAAAAGAGTGAGAGCATCCTTGTTGGACCAGTTGTTACTCAAGTCACTCTACTTCAAAATAATATGTCAAAGTGACATTTTGTAATGATATAGTCTGAACTCACCTTGTGGAATCCCATCCCCTGGTATCAGCTGTTGAGGAAAGATTAGAAATCAATGCCTGCGATGTGCCCTCTCCCATCCACTCTTATGCACAGACTTTTGCTCAGTTGTGGGCCAGCACTAGGTGTGTGTCTCTGCTTTCCACTCTGTATCATTTAGAACACCCAGTTCTCTTTTCCTTACACTTACCCCCTACTTAAAATTGTGTGGCATTTACATTTCTGTTTATAAGCATCAGAAGTTATTTGGCTTCTTGGGGTTTGGGAAAGAAACATAAAATGGTAGAATAGTTGGAATTTTGTTATTATGAATAGTCATTAAATGCAAAGTGGGGGCCCATCACTAGTGTACAATGGGTAAAGCACAGCACTATGAAGTGCAACCAATGCAGCATGAGTTCAATCCCCAGCCAGGATGGTGACCCACATTGCACAGCAGACCTCTCCTGTCTCTCTCGCTGTCCCCCTCAGCAGCGTGTTTCAGTCACTCTGCCTGTTCTGCCCCCCTCTCTGTCTCTGGTGACTCCTCTCAACCACCGCACCTCTGGCCTGTACCCCAGTTCTTGTATGCATAAATAAATAAATCTTTAAAAAAATGTAAAGAGGGGATAAAGAACAAAGATCTCTCTACTGGTACATAGTGTGTTCCTTGCCTGTTTTTTTTTTTTAAGATTATTTATGAATACAAGAACTGGGGTGCAGACCAGAGGTTCAGGGGGATGGGTGAGAGAGGAGTCACCTGAGACAGAGTGGGGAGCAGAACAGGCAGGGTGATGAATTACCCTGCAGAGGGGAGCAGTGGACCAGTAGAACTGACCAGGGAGGTTACACACATGGCGTGACAGACCTCTCCTTACCTGTATTCTGTAGACCATTTGCTACAAGATTATGAGGTTGCCATGTCCATGCTGCTTTTACAGATGAAGAATTGGGAGCTTAGGATCCTAAGTAACAGAGGCACATGAAGAGGCATTTTTGAGTTTATGATTTTGTCATCATCTGAATGTAATTAAAGCTTTACCTATGTCAGAACTTAACAAACTGTCTGTTATAAAAACATGGCATTAGGGCCCTCCCTGGTGGCACAGCGGATTAAATAAAGCACAGCACTAAGAAGCTAAAACCACTTCAGTATGAGTTTGAACGGTGCCCCGGAGGTGACCACATAGCATGGCAGACCTCTCCTGTCCGGCCCGCTGCCCCCCTCAGCAGTGTACTTCATCGATCTGCCTGTTCTGCTCCTCACTCTGTCTCTGGTGAATCCTCTCACTGCACCTGCATCTCTGGCCTGTACCCCAGCTCTGTATGTATAAATAAATAAATCTAAAAAAAACCAAAAAACAAAAACATAACATTATTTTGTGTCAGCCACACCTCATTGAAACTTTAAAAAAACAAACAGTGCTACAGAAGGTGTCTAAAATAGCACAAACCAAAAATCTACTTCTATCATCTCTCTTCTGAAACTTCAGTTCTTATCCGCAAGCTGTACCTCAGAACATTGGGGGAAGACGTCACAGACTAACTGAAGGAGAAGAGATGGCATGAGAGGAAAGATGCAGGTGCTTTTTTATTTTCCTTAACATATTAGCACCTCCTCCTGGTATGCAAACCAACTGAAGAGGAAAATAAAACCCAGCTGCATTATTTGACTCCAAGCTTCCCAGATGGATCTACCCTGTCATTTGTGTCTGGGGATAGAATGGGTCACCACTGGCAGCTTTGCCCAGATGAGACCAATTTTCAAAGAGAAAATTCCATGCTACAGCTATAAGTCACACCTCTAAGGAGGTGTAATGCTAACAAAAGGAGACTGGGATGAATATCAGCCTTTGAAAAATGGAGAAGACATGCAAACTCAAAACCTTTCAGCTGTAAACTCTGGGCTCAGGTGGTGAGTGTCTCACCACAATTCTAACCCCATAGCACATGCAGCAGACAATAGTTGTTCAATAATTACATTAGATGAAATGATTGAATTGCCAATTAAAAATTAAATATAAAGAGCTCTTACCATTATTTAGATCCAGGGCCTCCCTGGTGATACAGTGGTTAAAGTCTCAGTGCTAACAAACTATCGCCAGCCACTGTGCTGTGAGTTCAATCCCCAGCCAGGGAGGTGACCCATATGGCGCGGCAGACCTCTCCTGTTTCACCCACTACTCCCCCTCAGCAGTGTATTTCAGTGGATTTGCCTGTCCTGTGTCCCACTCTGTCTCTGGTGAGTCCTCTCACACCTCTGGCCTACACTCTAGTTCTTGTATGCATAAATAAATAAAAAAATAAATCTTTAAAAATGGATTAAGATTAAAAATTATAACATGATTGATATGGTACAATATTTAACTTAGGAAAAGGTAGGGATGAATATCTAAAATAAAGTGTGAAATTGATATAAAGATTTCAATTACCTGTGCTTTCCCCTATGAACTGAAATCAGATCATTTACATCATAATCAATTTTTCTCTGCAACTACATTTTGCAATAACCCCCTAGCTTTTATTAGGAACATACTTATCTGCATTAGCAGACAAAATAACATCACTTTAGTTTATAGTTTATAGCTTGCTCTCCTTGTTTTCCCAAAGAACTCAGTTCATCATAACTTCTCTAAAAGAATAATATTCATTTTC